AACTTTTTCGCACGGGTGGCAAACTATTTTTCCACTTCCTCTAAATTTTGTGCTATCATTTTCTAACGCAAAGAGATAATCAAATTATGTTTTCAGTTTTGGAAAGCGCATCAAATTTGCCCATTGTTACGCTTTTTACATATGCAAAATTAATTTTTAAATGGTTGATCCAATTGAGGGAACTTTGACACTTTCGATCTGCGGGCAACTCTTATTATGTTTATGATATTCAAAATATTAATAAAGTACTTCATATATCATAATTTGACCGCGACGCCCTCTTGTTCAAATTGTCCGCATGCTTCCCCCTCTCTAGGGCCCTGTAGGAACGCTATGATTTAAATTATTGTATGTTTGCGGTGAATAACTTATAAGATAAGAAATTAAGATTAGAACTTGTAACATTGTTTTTACAGTTTCCAAATTTAGACCAGTTTAGACCAGGAGAGGCTCCCCATTCGAGACTGAATTACCACGGAAGGAAAATTTGGGCGGGAAAAATAACTCAAGGTTTTTTAAAACTTGTGTTTTTACTAATTTATGTCATAAAATAAACCGTACTTGATACCTCGTTCCATGCAAGGCACTCTTAAAAATAATATGAACGATTTTTCGACAGTGCATATTTTAGCGAGTTACATATATTTTGCAAAATCTTATCAATGTAAAATTCTTGTAAAACTTTTACTTCTTATATCAAACATTATTCAGTAAGTTAGATAAATATGATTGTTCATTAACTTAGTTAAATATCATGAGTTTTCAATTACTCTTAAAATATGCGCGTTAAAAATCCACATAAAAACATTATGACGTTCCAACGTTTCGGATGAACAGCAGAAATTTTTGCGGTTCCCCGTAGCGCCGAATTTGTAAGGTTTACGAGTTAAGGATGACTATTTTTCTGAAGTTCTCCCCATTTTTGAAAACTTGTCGGAGTTCAGGTTTACCTGGAACATTGGCAAGAATAAGGGTAAAACCTAGTAAAAAGGTAAAATTATCCTATGCCCAACTTAGGATCTCTCGCTTGACACTTTTGGCAGAATGAATTCCAACAAAGTACATACAAAGTCGAGAGAAATTATTTTCTAAATTTTGGTTCATACTGAATGAAAACATCATTTGGAAATTTTGATGTATGTATTTAAATACATTCGGATATGACCTGGTGTTAATAATTTAATCCGTATTTAATTAAGTGGCCATAATTAATTAGTTAAGAGGATGTCGAAACTGAAATTCCATTTTATGACTTACATAAATGCTACGATTAAAGACTGTCAACTGTCCATAACCTACGTAACGCAAAAGGGGTAGGGGGCTGGGGTCTTAGGGCACAATGATATCGTGTCTATGTTACACATGGTAGAGGGCGGAGGGGAGGGGGTCTAAAAAAATTGCGTTACTAAATTTATGGATGGCCCCTTAGGCAGAAACTCTCTTAAAATGAATCATACCCTTTTGAGGATTAAATGTACTCTGGATTCAATTATATGAAGGAATATGAGTAAAGTCTACCCTGAATTTTGTATAGTTTACCAGGGTGCAAAAACCGAAAATAAAGTGTCATTATTGAGTATCCTGGACTTTCTCCAAAAGTATCTTGATCTTGTATCTTGCAGGGCTTTCTAATTGGTCGACTTTCTAATTAATTAATAATTAGTAATTAGCCTGAAAATTTTTGATCCAATTAATTAGTAACTAGTAATTAGACACACAATTTTTCATCTAATTAATTAGTAATTAAACAAAAAATTGATCTACTTAATTAGCTAATTAATTAGATCAAAATTTGCAATCCAGTAAATTTTGTTTTTGTCGTTTATTAAGGGGTGAAAACCCTTTATAAGATCGTTATGTCCGTCCGTCCGTCTGTCTGTCTGTCTGTCCGTAGCTCCGATAACTATTGAACGAAAAGCCCTAGAGACTTTAAATTTTGAACGTAAACTCTTAACGTCATGGGACAGGATGAGTTCGAAGATGGACACTGTGACATCGTCACCTGTGACGATGACGTCGTCACGGTGACGAAAAGTGACGAAAAAGTGTCACATTTTAGTTTTGGCTTGTGACACATCATTGTTAACTATTTTTCATTGAGGAATTCAATGGTGACCTCCATTTTGACCTCAGAGGTCATCTAAAGGTCATAGGTCATATGTATGTCAATTTGCACTGAAATTAACCTCGAATTCAACGGTGACCTCCATTTTAACCTCACATATCACGAAATGTCACTTAGAGGTCATTGAAAGTTCAACAACAGTTCAATTTATTTGATACATAAATTGAAGAAACGTGAGACATGTCCATTTTAACAGATTTTGAACGGGCAAATACAATATTGTGTTCAGTTTGACGTATGACGCACTACTTTCACCCCTTGGTTACATGCGTTGTAACGGTTTATTTTCCATTAACAATGTTTAACTACTTAACAACTGGTAATTATGTATCAAGGCGAAGCAACAATTAATTAATTACTATCCTACTGATATGCTGTAATTAAACTTAATAATTAATTTAAACCGAGATCAGTATTTTGATTTAAATATTGCAACACTTAAACATTGCCAAAGCTTCAAACAAATCATCTCTCATTGAGGTTCGAGTATTACGCATTATGAGGCCACCATAACTAAATAGCCGTTCAACTGGTGCTGAGGATGGCAAGATTGTGTTGAACCTACGGAATATTTTCAGAACGGTTAGATAGGAATGCAGCATTTCCAAATCTTTTCGACCATCTTCGAAATACTTCAAGCATTCTATATCGGCTCTGTTACTGTCAATATTTTCATTATGATCAGTCTCATCGAATCCATATCTGTCCTCTTTAGTTGATTTGGACGCTGAACTGCATTCATCTGACAAGTTGCTGTTTTCATGAAAATTCCTCATAAATTTCATCAACACGTTCTTGCATGTTGTCAATTTATCCTCAGCTTGAAAAATGGATGCGACATTGAAGCTAGAATATGCTGCTCCGCGGAATTTTCAAACAATAATAACCACGAGAATCGTGTTTCTAATCCGGACACCAGTTGATCAGCTATGGGTTTGGCCATTGCGTCTTGTTGCACCTCAGCTGCTGTGAGTTTCTTGATGATCCTCAGGATTTCAGGGAAAAAGTGAGCTAGGTGTACATTTTTTTCTTTTGGTAGAACATCCATCGTTGAACTTAGTGGGCTTAACGCATAACTAGCTTTTTAAATTGCTAGGCGACCTCACTTATTCAGTTACCGTCAGTTACCAGCTCTGAACCCAATGCTACATTTTTCGTCAAAGGGAAAACTTTTCCATTTCTGAACCGATGTTGATGATTATAATTTTAAATTAAAGATAGCTATATTTGTCACATTTCCATCCACGCAAATTTTCTGTTAAATGCTTATACTCTGTGTAATAATACAAAATGTTGCCATGGAAGTGGTTTATGTCTCATTACTTAGCTAATGCGTTCATGCATGGCAGCTGAAAATTAGATTCCTCATGATTATTATTGACTCTGGGTTTTTATTTCATCGAAGTCGGTTGAGAAATGATAAAGCTATGGGCTGTTGTCACTTTTTAGAACCCGACTGAATTCTTACTTAGGTATTTTTTCAGTAACCATAGCCTCACCTAAGAAAACCTGCAGTGCAGACTCCATATAGCCCGACTCAGGGACAGGGTCCTGACTCCTTGAGTCCTAGCCCGTTTCTAAATTTTTCTCCGAATTGACCGACATAATAATGCGAACCTCCTTAGTGGGCATCTTTAACAAGCTATATGTGGTATCAAGAAGTGGTTTTTAGCCTACATACCAAATTTCAGATGGTATTCACGACTTTTAAAAAACGGTATGGGTCACCCCCAGGGCTACCCTGGTTGCAATTTGCTCACTTTTAACTTCATATCCTTCCATAAGAAGCCATTAAGTATAACCCTGCCGGATTTCATCGTTTTAAAGCAATTTTTAAAAATCGGTTTTAAAAAACGCTAGAACAGTGCTCTACCAAACGCCGTTTAGTAGAGCACAGTTCTAGCTTGAAAATAAGACCGGTCCGGTCAAAAAGCTAGACGCCGTTTTCGAGAAATAAATTCTGAAAATCTGGGAATTTTGATGTGATATGCATAAACTCCGAATTTAACCCGGGTATTTCGCGCTTATCTTCGAGGTGCATGACTTCCCACTATATACGTTTGGTAGAGCGCTGTTCTAGCTTGAAAATAAGACCGGTCCGGTCAAAAAGCTAGACGCCGTTTTCGAGAAATAAATTCTGAAAATCTGGGAATTTTGATATGTGATATGCATAAACTCCGAATTTAACCCGGGTATTTCGCACTTATCTTAGAGGTGCATGACCAGCCACCCTATACGTTTGGGAGAGCACTGTTCTAGCTTGAAAATAAGACCGGTCCGGTCAAAAAGCTAGACGCCGTTTTCGAGAAATAAATTCTGAAAATCTAAGAATTTTGATATGTGGTATGCATATATACCGAATTTTACCCGGGTATTTAGGATGAAATATGAATATATGCTTTTATGTGTGGGGATACAGGGGGTTACACTAATGCTAAATAGGCTAAATGCTAAATTAGGCTCCCACTCCTCTGAAGGTATCGTTTACGTGACCATTGTACTTAATAGGGTCGATGATAGCCAAATGCATGGGTAAGAATCTCAAGTTTCCCCTTAGAATAGGGCGGGAAGGCTCGAGATTTGAATTCGAACAGTTCTGGGACCATGGGGAGCGAATCTCACGTTGCCCCACAAAGGTGGGATTTATGGGCGGCAGTCGGATATCAGTCGGCTCAGTCGGCTAACTTCATTCAAAATAATAAAAAAAGGAGAGGCCAACTTCACACTAATCATTCGACATTTCATAAAATACTTTCTCATCTGCATTTCAACGTTTTAGTGAGCATGCGGTTTCCGATTTCCATTTTCATACGCGTTATTCACACGAACAAAGTCAAAAACAAAGGTACTTGAGTAAACGGCGGGTCTCGATTCAGCCGACATTCAACATATTGAAAATACTTATACATAATCAAATCACGAGAAGAAGAGTAAACAACACTTTACCATTTTCCGTTCTTTTCGTCTCGTTTAAATAATTTTAAACGAACAAAATTGTGTTTCGATTTTGTAAAACACATTCCATGAAAAGGCAAGGAACCTTGCGAAATAATTGATAACCTGGTTAAAATAGAAAGATTTACTTTTAGTTCCTTCTGTTATCCGTCTCCGTCATCATGTCTCCAAAGACAGGGGAAAATTGTAGTCAAGGATCAGGTATGAGTAATTACTTCATAGTTAAATTTAATATATATACCACAATTACATTTTAACATATATGTTAACATTTAAATTAATGTATAACCATTTTTAATTGTTTTGTTAATCAGACCCCTCAGTTTTTTACCAATGTGACAAATGCGACTCGTTTTTTGAGTCGAAACCTCTCGTCGTGATACATCTTTCGAAAACGTCGCATGAAAAGTAAGTATGAAGTAAGGAGAGAGAAGTTTAATTAATTAAGTAAAATATTCTATTTTTTTTAGAAATTATTCATCAATTGATGATCTTAATTCTAACCTGCTTTCTTAATATTTACAGGCAGGGGGACAAGCCTAATTCTACTGGGTGGAGGACCGTCCCATTTCCGACCCCCATTTTAAAACTGGACAGGGTACCGGAAGTCACCGAGGTCAAGGATGACCCTCCGCAATTCGCGCCCCCGCTCTTCGTCCCGGTTAAAATGGCCAAGTACAAATTTAAAACTTTCCCCACCCTTGCCGACCCCTTAGGTGATATAGATTCAGGTAATTATTAAAATAAAATTCATATGTATAGGAAGTTAGCCCAGCCCAGAATTTAAATTTTTTTATTTTTGAGCTCTCCCGCTGCTTCTGGGCATGATTTGATGACTTAAATGTGCTCCTTACCACTCCTTAATAATTCCCTGAAAATTGGAGCCAAGTCGAACGCGGGAAACTTGGGAAATGTCGATTTTATCCCCTCACCCTCAGTTTTGATGAATTTTGACAATTTCAAAAGTGCGTGCGGGCGAGTTCTGATTTCTGAAACATGTTCAGGGATACTTGGCGAGTACTCCCTGAAAGTTTCAAGAAAATCGTACGCCGCGGACCCCTTCAAAAATGGACAAATTCCTTCTTTGTTGTCCTCTCCGACCCTGCTTTGACTTGTTTGCTGAATTTTGACAATTTCAAATCTGCGTGCGGGCGAGTTCTGATTCATGTGTTTCCCTACATATGATTCCCTACATATGTTTTAAACTCATACATTGTGTCTGTACTTCACATTCTTTCAGGAAATCTAGGTGAAACCATGGACGACGAATCTTCACCTCCCTCGTCCCCCGACGTCCTACCCGAATATTCTGGCCTTTGCCCAACCTGCGAAAAATGCAAACTCTCTTTTTCGAGTACTAATGCACTCCAAAGACACCAATTCTTGATTATAAAGTGGGTCGCTTTTTAACAATCACCGCCGCACTCTTAAAAATAATCTTATCGTTTTGAAACGTAAATGCACTCATGTAAACTAAACTAAATCCAAAGTGACGTCAAAGTCTATACTGGGTTTAGTGTAATTTACTTACATATGATATTATCAAAATGACAATACATACCTAAAAATGTATTCACTTTTCAAAAATGGTGACACTATTTTTAGCAGTGCGCTACATATTAATTAATACTTTTTGAAATTAATTTTAATTCCGAATTTTTTAGCTGTGCTGACAGGGCTGCTGAGCTGGCCAAATTACGGTACGTCTTATTATGGATTAAATTTACATGAAATTAAATACAGCATTGTATCCTTAATTAAAAAATTGTCCCCGCAGGCGTCGACGCCACGGACCACCTAAACTAAAACCACGTCGCTGTCAGGTTTGTGGGATTATGTGTCGATCTCAAGCGCACTACGACCAGCACACCAAAGCCCACTCGTTCCGGAATTCAGGAGCATCCACGTGTGACGCGTGTGGGGTCGCATTTTATAACACTTTTTCCCTTGAAAGACACCAAATAAATGGAAGGTGATTAAATACTTGATTACCTTAATTGTTTGAATGATCACAAGTAAGCACCCACCAATTTACACAGTTATGTAATTTGCACATTCCTCAGTTGCAGCAAACCCAAAGTTGGAAAAGAGTGTCGCAAGTGCGGTCGCACATTTACGCAAAGTTGGTCGTTAAAACGACACTTGGAAAATGGCAGGTATATATTTCATTAATTTGAAACATTAATTTTGATGGATGAGTGCATATCTTGTTTTGTGATCACAGTTGCTTCAAAATTTCTACACGAGGTGGAGTGGCGAAGAAAAAGTGTGACACATGTGGACTCTCATTTACTCAGAGCGGTTCGCTAAAACGACACTTGGAAAATGACAGGTATATCATTAATTTGACACACTAATTTGCGGATGAGTAACTAATTTTGTGCCTTTAGTTGCTTCAAGGGCTCTACTAGAGGTCCTGGGTCAGCGAAGAAAAAGTGTGAAACGTGTGGACTCTCGTTTACTCAAATTGGTTCGCTTAAACGGCACTTGGAAAATGACAGGTATGCAATTAAAAAATTAATTGTGCAAAATGACATGAGTTTTGTATTTAAATATTTAGTTGCTTCAAGGGCCCAAGTCGCGCAGTTAGGATAGCTTGTGACAAATGTGGACTCGCATTTGCTCAAAGTCGTTCGTTAAAGTTTCACCTTGAAAAGGAATGGTAATTAATTTTAAAGTTTTTAATTTTTAAATTATTAAGCATTCCAGTTTTACCCGTCTCTTTTAATCACCTGCACATATTTATAAATGCATGCTTTAAGGTATAACTCGACGAAGGTCATGTCACCATAATTACATATGTAACATTCTATGAGCTAAAAGTAGTATGAAGTTTACAGATATATGTGCATCCCTTTTTGAAATATGAAAACTGGATGAAGCCTCTTAAGCTTATCAAAATCTAGAAATTTTAACTAATTTCTCAGCTCAGGGAATTTATTTTAAACATACGGACAAGAAATTTCCATCCAACTTTTCTGAAGGCTTGTTAAGCTTGAAATCTTCTCGTTCAAAAACTTCCTTAACTTTAAGTGTATATTTTTATAATTGGCCGCAAATTTGACGTAAAAGTCAATTCCCAGAGCCAACCGTTTGGTTATTAAGTTTTTAAATTTTTGTTACAGTTGTACCTCACCGGGTGACGAGTCTGATGTTGAAGCTGTCCACGGCCAGAATCTTAACGATTATGCCAGCAGAAACCTGACGCTACGGGACGGATCTCAAGAGGACGATGTTACCCCCGTCGTCATCAAGGATGAAGACATCCTCATCGCAACAGATTGGTCGGAATTGGTAGGGCTGACGGGTGATGATGAGCAAGTGATTGAAATATATGAAGGAAAAAATAAGCATGAATAGGTAGTCTCAAGGTAAATACATGTGTGTTGTATATACAAGAATGATATATACACAGAAAACAAATAAAACAGTTTTTGTAATTCGCATTTTTATGACACAGTTTGCTGAATATGCATGTATGTACGTCATTTTATTCTACACTTTATGCATAAGTATGTATTTGACAAATAGTAATGCGAACAAATACTACTTTGCACATAATTACATTAACAAATAGAAACAATGATTACCTCAAAAAATTAAATACTAGCCTTGTACAAGTAGTATGCAGAGGTGTTTTTCATAATTTCATAAATAATGAAATTATGAAGAATATAACTTTTCAACAAATTGTATTTTAGTTTGATGTGATTTTTGAAAGTCCCATAGCATGCACTCTTATCACAGAATTATCAAGTCAGAGTATATCAACGCGAAAGAGCAAATAAGTACTTAAACTGGTTTTATTTCATTTGTTATCGGTTGCCAGACATCTCTGCTAGCGGTTATAACTGTTATCGGTTGTCACCCTGGCGGATACCACAGCCAATGTTTTTATATCCCACAGGTTAAGTTCTAAGATTTTATGTTACACCCAGTATATTACATAAGAAACCTTAATAAAATTAACATAGATGCATATTCATATGTGGAACAATATACATCATAATAAAATGGACGATGCCAATGTATCAACATTTTATTCACGATCAATAATTCTGAGAAGTTGAAACCCTAGGCGAGGCGTAAAAGATAGAAATAATCGTGTGAAAATAATTGTTAAAACAGAAGTGATATTTATTGTAACTTTATCAACAGTTTATACATATTTGATTGTAAGGTGAGATTGTAAAATGTTAAGCACGTAAATTCACTAAACTTCAATACATATTCCATAATAATCGGAGAGGTAAGATTATGAATTCGTATTTGCTTAGCAGTAACAATTACGTTCGTAAAGGTGATTGAAAGAAGTATTAATTAATTCTAACACGTCTAGCGATTGGTATAGCGGTCAATAACCAAATGAGCATGTTTGTGAGCGTTTAAGCGTTCGCTGCAATTTATTTTGCTGTTTTTAAGCATTTGTTGTTCTGCACGTGCATGGATATGCTTTTCGTAAGTAAATATTGCTGTATGAAAGTTGTGGCTCAAGCTGTTTTTACGACTAACTTGACAGCTTATGCCAAGAGTTTTGATCTTGGATGGAACATATAATTTACGCCTGAAATATGTTGACGCATTAAATGCACGGAAGGCCAAGTGTAGGAAATAGCGCGATTGTAACGGTGATCCAGATGGGCAAAGGAGGTAAATCTTTCCCGGTTATCCGTTGTGAATCTCACAATATCTGTTACGATGTAAGGATTTTTAGATTGAAATAAGCAAGCATTAGCACAAATTGTAAAAACACAACCTCCTCTGTCTTGTAAATAGGGGAAAAATGATGACTGCGAACATTTTTTTACAAAACGGAGACCATCTACATCTTTCACGAGGTACAGAGTAGGTGTCACGCGTATTGTCACATCCGGAAAATTTACGGATGTGACAATTTTAACTCAATTTGAACTTCTCAAACTTTGCTGATCTCGGAAGCAGTATAAGCAAAAGCTCTATCATAAATGTGCCGATTTGCACCCCAGTTATTGGGGTCATAATAAGCAACAAGATGTGAATCATTGTCAACGTAACGGAATGCGGAATGATCATATAAGCTCCTCCTAAAAAATGAAGATAATAAGGAGCAGAAAAGTGGTAGGAATGAAGATAAAAGTTTTGCGTTTATCTCTCCTGTCCACGAGAAATTAATAATTAGTATAGAAATAGTGATATATGCGGTTGTTCGCATCAACACAAAAAAATGAACATCACCGGGCAAGAGATATCCACAATTGATGGGCTTGTCCTAGAAGTGAGGAAAGCGTTGGTCGTCTAGTCGCAAGCACCTCAGAATTCAGTTAACTATCCCCCCTGACCTTGTAGCATCGCAAGGTCGCTTGGGTCCTTTGCTGGTGACGAAGGAATGCCGGTCAACAGAATCCCGTCTTAATTTATTCCAAATAAGAAGCCCTGCACGTATCCCGTGTGACACAGGATTTTTAAATTGAGGAGCTCCGTGAGTATTTCAAGATGGAAATATGTGCATGGATATCTGCGTTGTAATTGTGTGCCCCCTTACCTAACTTACTATTAGATAGGAAAACACATTGTGAAACTATTAGGAATCTGCAATTCAATAATAAACAACTAGAGAAGGGTAACTTTGCTTGCTAAAAATCAAATTTTTGCATACATTGGCTAGAAATTTGGGTCACTTTTCTAACCACCTGCATTCTATGGACAAATACAAGAATTCCACCAATGTTTGCTTTTAATATCTTTTAACACCACCTGCTTTTCTGTTGAATTCTATTTTTATATTAAGAAATTCCAAGAACTTTGGGCACCATCATATTCAGAATTTTTCCACGCAATTTTGCCTCATAAGTTCTATTTAAAAAATGTACATATCTTTATAAGTATCTCAATTGTTTATAGTTCTTTTTTCTACTATATATGTACATACTATACTTATATATATATATGCTTTAATATATACATACTACGCTAGGATACGTGGTCTATATACATACTATGCATGGCTCGTCCTGCTTCATCACCACGTCGTCGGCGCACGCTCCATATTGATCATTTTGAACGCCTACACACATGCACGACCTCAATGATGAGGCGAGATTACTATTATAATGTTCATGGCTTCAGACCACTGGTCTTTTTTCCAGTTTCGACGCCTTTTTATACCCGATTTTTAACCTGCAACAAGTTTGAAAGTTGTAAAATTTTAAGAAATGGCACTGCAACTCTGCGTAAAAGGGTGTGTACATTCTATATACGTTTCCTTGGTCAAAGATTACATTTCTATAGGCACTAACATATGTATATATAACTTGCAGAAGAATTGTCTTAAAAATATCACTGTATCACTAAAACCTTTTTATGCGTTTCCAGGAACGGAAAGTAGAGTTTGGCAGATTTACTGCCTTTGTCCAGTTGAACTAACCTATTCCAACCTAATATGTAAGATTATGTATCCATATAACGAAATACGTACCCACATATGACGATAACCGAGTGTTATGTAATATTAAGTAATGTGAATAACCATGTAACTACATATAACACTTACCCGCTCCTTGTACTACTACTAATCTTTTACCTATATTCTCTTGGGTAACCAAATAATTATTTAGCAACAAATCGTAATCAAATGAATATCATGAGTGTGAAAAAAAATTGCCCATACTTTGTATGAAGTACTTTACAGTGTGCAAACGAAGGGTAGCATTTTTAAAATAAATAAATAATAAATAAAATTATCATACTTGTATAACGCAACATAACTCACAAAGAACAAATCCAAATTTATATTACAACATGACCGTGTATTTTTAGATTCACTTTCACCATTTGATTTATTTTCACCATAAATTTGTACTGAGTCCGACAAACGCTCCCTTGATAATTAGGGGGCATGTTTATAGCAAATTCAGATTACCGATACTGATTATGTGTAGCCGTAAAACGGATTGTTTTACTGCTCTCTGACTATGATTGGTAGATACGTAAATAAGTAAATATCATTTACGGAGAAAATCTTCCTTTTGAAAAGGGTGATTTTGCCCAAGGCATGATGCGATTTCTCTCTAGAGAGAGAAAGAAGCATCTTGCGCTCCAGTCTTTGTTTGTCTCTCATATTAATAAATCCGTCCTATTGATTTCGTTTTTCACACAAAAGCTCGCATAACGAACACACATTTATTTACATATTTGGACCATTTCTCACTACATTATCCAATAACCCAACATTTTTGATGAGATCAGCATGGTTTTCGATGATCCCAAATTTATAGGTGTAAAGTGAGACCGTGTTTGTATTAACTTCAGGTGGTATTTTTGGTTACCTGAGACAGTGTTTGGGGTGAAACGAGAGGGTTTAGGGGTAACGTAAGACGATACATGCGGTGAACTGATAAGGTTTCGGGGTAATGTGTTGGTGTAACATGAGACATTTTTGGGATAACGTCAGACCCATTTGGGGTAACATGAGATACTTTTGGGATCCCTCCCCCTTCCTTCGGGTGTGGGGGGATATAAAAACATTGGCAGTGATATCACAACCGATAACAGTGATAACCGATAGCAGTGATATCTGACCTCTGACAACTGCTCGACAGTGACAACCGATCATATCGCAGTGATGTCTGACAACCGACGGCAGTGATACCGACAACCCATAACACATTATTATTTCTACGGCGATTTTATACTCCGTACATATTGGTACTACATACTCCGAAATGGTAGGGCTGACTTGTGATGAGGAGCAAGTCATTGAAGTATATGACGTTACTGACAATGAGAATTAACATTGGCGTAGGGATCAATTTACATTTACGTATTTAATAGAATGAGATATGCACAGAGCAGAAAACTAATTAAAACAGTTTTTGTAATCCATATTTTTATCACACATTTTGCTGATCTATTTACATATTTACATGCATGCATACATGCATACATGCATGTAAATATGTAGATGGCATTTTACTCCACACACATTTATGCATACATGTTCGATAAGTAGCAATGCGAATAAATACATAAAACCAATTGCAGACAAAGGGAACAATGATTACTTCAGCAAATTAAATCAATCAATCAATGGGTAATTTAACCATTAACCTATCGAGTATGAAACAATGTTATCAATTTGGTTACGCCATTTTGCTTAGATGCGTTGTAAAGATTTAAGTATTATACGTTAAGCTACATAAATGCAAGCTATGTTTTCGTATATGTGACCTAGTACGCCAACATATAAGTTACTTTGTGGCATTTTATGACTTCTACATAGTAAGAGAAAATATAAAAAAAATAACTCAGTAAACACTTTATTTGTACAGTTCATAAATTTTATTTGACAATTTTGCCAGCAAACTTTATTCGCAATTTATTCAAAACATATACAGGGTGGGGCAACATTATATGACGCTGTTTGCGAGTTCATATCCAGTTACCCCGTTAAGTAAACCGCGAAATTCAAAAAGTTCCAGAAACGCAAGATCAATTGCAAAAGTGTGAATATTTTTCAGAATTTGAAATTTTCAAGATGGGTCCGAAAATTGACCTCAAAGTATATCATAGTGTAAAAGCACTTTGCCAGGCTGGATTGACGCGTAAGGAAATAACAAGTCAACTTAGGGGCGAAGGAATCATCATTTCTGAAGGCACAGTGTCCAACATAACGAATTCCGTCGGAAAAAGGAACCAGGCCAGAAATTTGGACATGCCACAGCCGCCGAACGTATACCCCCGAAAAGTGAGGAAACCGACGCTCATCAGAAAAATAGATGCTGACACGTCAAAGGAAAATCCTCCAACCCAAAATCAGTTGGCAACGAAATATCATGTCTCTAAGCGTACAGTGAGGCGAATTATTCATCAAGATCTGGGTAAGAAGACCTTTAAAAAGACCAGAGTCCATGCCCTAAAACCACGTCACAAACAAGTACGGAAGTCGACATCTCGGAAGCTGTACCGTGGTCACCTTGCAGGGAAAAAATCTGAATTTGCTGTGACATTGGACGAGGCATTATTCTTCATCGAGGATTGCAAAAAAAAACGAAGGATTTGCTATTCAAAGGCCCGAAGTGAGATGGAGAAATATGTAAGTGAAAAAAGCAAAAAGTTTGCGGACAGAGTGATGATAGTCGGCGCCATGAGTGGTCGTGGAACACTCGATTTGATTCGAGTTCCTCATAATGTAAAGATAAATGTTACTTATTATGTGGACAAAGTTTTAAAACCTCTTTTGGAACAAGAAATTCCAAAACTCTACCCTGGGGAGACCCAGAAGGAATTTTTTCATCATGACGCGGCGTCATCACATACTGCTCGGATCACCGCCCAGTACGCAGCCGAATTAAAAGAGAAAGTCGGAATCGCAATTTTTCTTAATAAAGAGATACTAGTCGAATCCCCTGATGCATCTCCAATGGAGTTTTTTTGGGTTTGGAACCTTGAAGCAGCAATTTTTAATAGGGGAGCTACCACGCTAGATGGATTTTGCAAAGTTCTGGCTGAAGAGCGGATGAAAGTGACCCCTGAAATGTGCCTAAAAGTCTTCGATTCATGGAAACGACGACTTTGCTCCTTATCAAAAAAGGATGGGGAACACGTGGAAAACACCAAAACAATTCACCGACGCGTCCTTCGGGCGCAAAATTAAGGTCAGACAGCGTTACATAATGTTGCCCCTCCCTCAGTATACAGTACATATAGGCAGACAATCTTTCCACCCTCATCCCTTTTACTCCTCTGGTGGAAGTTCTGCTTCTGGTACGTTATATTGCTCGAGATGCTTTATATGCGAGATGCGCAAGACGCCGAATATAAGTTGGAAATATAAATGAATTCATTACCCGGGATCGCACTTAATTCTAAAAAAACTGCAGTAGGTACCTTGGATACCAGTAGCTCTTTGCTTACCTACGATTCCTGAATTCATTTAAAGTATTACCCGACCCGGCCCGGCACCCGGTATCCGGTAGGGATTTTGATGCCGAGGCAGGTTAGCCTGGTTCCGGGTATCGCTCTTACCCAGAACATGCCTAATTTTAACCCCATCCCCCACCTCGACGAATCCACCCCCAAATCCAATCTTTTCTTACTTCCCCCACTATTCCCTCCACCCTTCACAAAACCCAGCTCCTCCCCAATCTCCACCCACTCCTTTACCCTGGCCGCCCTGGCCGTCTCCCTCTCCAAACTTTCCTCTATGGCACTATATCTCACCAAGTTCGGAAACATTGCAACCACCCGGACCCAAAATTCGGTCGATTTCTTCACCTCGGCACGCCCACAACAAGCCGACCCCCCACCCCCGCCGGCGGTTCGTATCACCCTGAACCTGTCCCCCGGGGGGAACGGGACGTCCAACTCTTTCACCGTCACCCCCACCGAATTCCCCTTGCGGAGGAACGTCTTGTACAAAAATGCCGCGCTCGTCTCAAAATACTCCTGAGGGGTTAGTACGTTATTGTTATTGCAGAAATCTGCTCGTTCCTCCCGGGAAATTATGATCCTCTCCAAGGCGGGAAACTGCTCGGGATAAAGGAGCGTCTCACTTTCCCCCCATGTCATATGGAGCCCCGGGGTCACAATGGAGCAGGAGGAAAACGCCCTCGTGGGAGACTGCGCGATGGCGAAAACCTTCAATTTTGGCATGGCGGGAAACACTATGGAGGCCTGAATGATGCGCCAGTGCGGCGGGAAGTTGTCCAGTTTGAAGAATTTAATGCGCTCTAAGGTGCCAGAGACGAGGTTGAGAATGGCGGAAAGGTGGCCCATTCCTTGCGTAGAGTCGCCTAATTCTAGCCGGGTAATGGCCACCCTGGGTCCGGTCAAGGGAGAATTTCCCCCCTGGAGAAATGTGTTCAGAAGTGAAGAATCAATTCCATCGGACGATAAGGTTTCCAGATTTGGGAAGAGGGACAAGATTTCAGCCAATTTAATAGATTCCTCCCATTTGGGGGTGTGACATACCATCCCAGGCTCGTCTGATCAACGACCTGAGATGGCATGTCCTTGTAAATAATATTTAATGAATATTTAATTAGAAGGATTTCTTGGCTAGCCACCAAGAAACCCTCCTAACATTAGGAGACATTGGACAGAGTAGTCCACCTCTAGATAAGATAATCTCGTCTGCGTCCGGCAGACGAGACATAGATTAAATTAGTTAATTTTAATTAAGGGTGGATGAAGAGAGGTGCTCTCTTCATCCTGAAGTAGAGAAAAATTTAGTTTTAGTTGGGTTTTGTCCTTGGACTCATAGAGTTAGATTTTGTCCTCCGACTCCTAAAGTTAGTTTCTAGATTCGGACTCTTCAAGTCATCTTTTTCATGCACTTAGCATGCCCCACATGTACATACACCCTTATTTCCCGTTCAATAAATAAGTTGTAATAGGAAATTTATGAGATTTTCAGTCGTCTCACCTTGCTCTCCCACATTACACGAGCTTATTTGCGGCACACCCACTTTTTAACACACGAATCAGGTTACAGGGGAAACAATTCCGAGTTTTCGAACTTTCCAGAAGTGATGTGGTTTTTGGGGAGGGGGAAATAGCCAGAATTTTTGAGTTCAGGTGTGACCACAACGATTTGGAGGGCGGTCAGGTTGGGGAGGAGGCTTGAAAGGTATTGCAAACATCGCACCCATTGGGGATCCCCAATGGATAGGTGGATCTTGAAGTTCGTCACTTTGTGGCCATTGTTTGAAAGAAAATCTATCAAGACTTCTGGACAGGAATTTTTAAAATTGGAAATGCACAAATTTCTGAGGCGGTTCCCTCGAAGGTTGATGATGCTGTGGGAATAGGTGATATTTTGGGGGGAGAGAGTGACCCATTTTTGAGCGAGGAGACGTTTCCGGGATTCAGTTTCCCATCCTGTGTTGATCTTGGTGAATGTGATGAGGTCACACGTGGGGTGAAAGGTCATTACTTTTGCCAGAATCTGAGAAAATGTATGCATACATATATATTAATTTTGAAAATTTTATGTAGCAAAATTTACAATAAGTTGTTTTTTCCTTCATTGTGCATTAAGCTGAAATTGGTACACATACCAATTTCAGCTTAATTTGAAACAATTGTAAATATCTATTTATATAATGTGCAAATTATCTTTCAAGCAGAAATTAGTCAAAATTAATTACAAGTATGTATGTATGCTACGATTTATTTGAGAAAATAAATATGTACACACCTCAGGGAGAGTAACGGCAAAATGGGGTTTCGAAAAGGCATTGCTAAATTCCATGTTGGCGAATTCACAAGTTTTGAAAATATGTTTTTTCGGTGATTTCAAACTGTATGTGTATTGTTAGGCTGCAAGGCGTACGTATTAATTATTTAATTAATTATTTTGTTAAAACCAAGAATATGAAAAACCTCAAGCAAAAATGTGCAAAGTGGTCCAGAGGTGATGGAGTGGTACCTGTTAAAAATACATCCTTTGGACGGTTAACACTTGAGAGTGTGGAATCAAAGTCGAGGTATTTGACCCTTTTTGTGTAAATTTAGACGTCAGTATTGTCCACGGAGAGATAGGAATGGAAGGGTTGATTAATATCTCGTACACCAAGGTACATACATACATATGTCCCTTCGCGCAGATCGGGAACCCACACCAATAGGTTCGGTTTGCATGCATTTTCACCATTAGGAAATACCATGGTGAACATTCATTCATTACGTCGTCAGTAAAACGCCCATTTTTACACGAACCACTTCCATATCCTACTCATGTTAAGCTTATTTATATAACACGAGTAATAAGCAATATGAATAATATAAAGTGGCGACCCAAAACCACCCTCCACTTTTTTGATGACACCATATGTGGACGTTTCTACTAAAGAGTCCAAGAATGTGTCCATCAAACATAACTATTTTCTCAGTCAATAAGAAAGAGGTTGGTCAAATCCCAAATTATCCTACCCGGCGAATTTATGCAGGTGCAAATTTTTATTTTTTGTTATTACGCTTGGATTAACCCATCTTTGACAAGTGAATTCGTGATAAATAGGCAATTAATGTCATAAAATCCTATGATGATTTCTCATCCGCTAATCTTCAGGTCCCCAATCATACTCAATGTTGAAACCTGCCCCCACCGTTGCGTTGTCCGACTTGAATACCACCACGTACACGGGGTTTGCATCGTATCTGGCTGACGTCGCGTTGCACAGTTCCCTAAAAGACAAAGGCTATTATTGGCTACACGTGTATGTACGTGTCGACTTTAGAACTTTGTTAGCAAATCTGCAAAATCTCGTTGTAATTTAATAAAAACTGCTTAAAAATAATGTTCTCCCGTCGAAAAATAAAAGCAGTCTCTGAATTCTAAATTACGCAATCTTTACTAAATTCGGAGTTAACTTTACTCCGTTCAGAGTAATCCTTACTTTTTACTAAGGTCACATTACTCTAGATCTGTCATGCTTTAGGGACCGTCCAGAAATTACGTAACACATGAGGGGCGAGGGGAGGTGGTCTAAGGTTCCAATGATACCGTGCCTATTTATGTATGTGGCGCATGTTAAAGGGGGGGGGTCCAGAAAATCTAGATTTTTGCGTTACGTAATTTATGGACGACCCATTACTTAATATAGAATTCAAAGAACATTTACTTTTGGAAATGGTAGCAATATTTTTTAGAGTATCCAGTTACTTACCTTTTAGATGAACCCACCGCTGAAACGGTAGATGACATAGTATACGTCGAAACCTTATCAGTGCATGAGGCCTCCAGTCCGGACGTATTAACCTCAAATCGACTTTTTCTATTACTGGTGTCATAATTGATCCAATTTGGCGGAGCGAAAACAAGTGCGGTGAACTCGCGATTATCATAATTTACGTCAGCTTGTGGATATCTGAATCTCGCGGGTGGATTCCCATGAACGCCTGGATAAATATTTTGCACGCTATTGGCAGAAAGTTCCAAGTCCCCTATTGGAGTCATGCTGTACTCCAGGACGAAAACTCGACGATAAATTGGTATTGTTCGAGAAGTCGTGAAACCTAAAATTACTAGGTTTCCGGTCGACTTATATTTTCCGAGTTGGCTACTAATATAAATAAAACAAAACCAGGTTAAACATTTAATTCTGATCAGCCCAAGGTTAATCAATATAGGTATGTAAGGTTGCCACGTACACTTGGTAGGTTTGATGATTTGGATTTCGATAATCAAACGTACTAATTCCCAAGAATGTCTCCCTATTCCCGTACACATCCATTTGCAAAATGTCGAAGTTAAATTCGTTTAAGAGGCGTGACTTGATCATAAAAACGCAATATTCCGTCCCGACAGTATAACCGGATGTGTACTCTATTCGACCTTGAGTAGTTGTTAGAACATCTCCACAAGTTGTGGCTACGTGAAATATTTGCAAAAAATTAATTTGCATATCGTCGGACTAATTCCGAAAGGAGCAAAGTGCAATCAATATTTAATTCCGAAACGGCCTAAGTACACAAGAAAAACTATTGAAAAGACCTAACTGCATTTTCAATATAAATGCATATCTAACCACAATCCCTGAACTTGTGAATATTTAATTTTTAAAATTTACCATAAGTAGTCCAAGACTAAAGGTCGGTCGTGACCATCGTAGAGTTAAAATTTTAAAAATTAAATATTCACAAGTTCAGGGATTGCGGTTATATATGCAGTTATATTGAAAATGCACTTAGGTCTTTTCAATAGTTTTTCTTGTGTACTTAGACCCTTTCGGAATTAAGTATCTACTGCACTTTGGCCCTTTCGGAATTAGTCCGACGATATGTATCATGCCTGTTAATCTACAAATAAACCCATACATATTTCAAGCCCATCCCGGCCTTTAACGGACTTTCCTGGAATTTGGGGTTTTGAGCCTTCCTCCGCTATATTTGCGAAACCGGTTCGATCTGCAATATGAATTATGTAGTAACCATAGAATTAGTAAATATTAAGTAAGTTAGTCCATGCATTTTTCTTGTGCTATCTACACTCTTAAAAATACTTTCCTATTTTGAGAACCAAATAAGCTAAAAATTCTAAATTATGTTAAATATAATTATAAGGGTAACGTTAACCTGATCAAAAGTAAAGTTTATTCAGAATTTCTTGCAGTTTTTTAACATAGAATTTAAAGGGCATTTACTTTTCAAAAGGGTAATATTATTTTTAAAAGTGTACATGATAAGATAAGTACTTGAGACATAGGCCTCCGAGGTGTCGAAAAGAACGGTTGCAAAAATGCAAAAAACCCCAAAAGAGTTCATGCTTTTAGAAACTTTGTATAAAATTTCTACACGAATATGCACGATGTATAATCTACGAGAGAAAAAAGGCAACTGTGAGAAAACCAGAGCGAGACTGTTGCTTATATAACTTTTCTTATCAGCCGTTTATCCATGAAATATAGATAACCACTTGCGTATGTATGTGCGCATTTCCATGCATACGTTCCTGTGTTCTCATACGCAACTTTACACTAAATACGATACGCATGTATGTGCATACATTAAAAAAATTATTCCGCCCCCAATTTTCCAATCATTTGATCAACAAATAGATATTTATGACTAATTAGTGCAAATGAGTCATTCTGAATAAGGATTTGCATGTATGAACATATCTATTTATCGTCCAGACTGACGTAAAAGGTGGTCACGCAAATTGCAATTGACTATTTCAAATAAATACGCTTCTGAAAATTCGTCTGACAATATTTAGTTTAACATATATTTATTGATGTATTTAATAATTGTATTATATATCTACATACATGGAGTTTTGGTGCAAAAAAATGAATGAAGAAAAAGATTGCTTTATTGAACAATATTTCTGTCAATCATGACATTTGGAAGATAAGAAATTCTTGCCAAATTACGCCCCCCGTCTACGGATTTGTACAGTTGTTTGTAAAACAGCGTTATTTTTAATTCGTTTGTTTATAATTTCTATAATTCGTGAATTATGGAAATGAGCCCATATGAACAAGACTGTTGACTTAATAGATAAGAAATCTATTTCACTACAAGTTTTGAAAGATTCCATTTTTCTTAAAAACATTATGCAAGGCTTTATTGACGTGTTAAGTCAAGTAGCGCTTTTTAATTTTGTGTGCAAAGTAAAAGTGTGTGAAAGTAGGTTTAATAATTATAGTTTTATTATTATTTTACAATGTGTGTACGTCTCTTACATATTATAACCGACGATTAGTTTTAATATTGCGTAATATACGACCTATAAGGGCATTTAATTGCATTAACCGCATTTAATGTATTAATATGTTTGAAATGTTTCAGTTCGAATATTCCCAATCAGAATCTATCGTGATACCACTTGCGACTGTCGAACTGTCCGAATAAAAGATTACGACGTACATTTGGTACCATGCGAGAGTGTAGGTATTTCCGCACAATCTAGAATGAAAATGTGATGTTAAGACGTTATAAAATGGTGTCTCGTATACGAGCCCAAACCCTACAAGCAATGAAATAACCCTGTTTCAATGCGATGGTTTGACGTGTAATCCTCTGATTTGGTTGAAATTTTTAAATTACGTGGTCCATGTCAATACCAACAACGATTATTCAGGCATTTTTTAGCACGGGAAAGGAATTGAAGTGGGGTTTGCTTCCTCCGCCTGGTCAAAATCGCCTGTTTTTTGAATGGAGGGTTACACTTTACACAATCGCATTGATCGCAGTGGAAACCCTTGTCTCTTCCAGTCCCAACGGGGGACAGGTTGAGACCAAATTTCCTACTAAATCTTGGGCTGTTCATACACGCAGTGGTCGGCATATTTGACTCGGCACACAGACCGGCTTGAAAACAATTTATCCTTTAATTTTATTTTACCTGTCACCAGTAGTGTGTAAGTGATTATTGTTCAGATAATCCTTCACCAAGGCTGCCGTTGTGACGAAATCGTTACAACCTTCGTCCAATCCAGACGTATCTATTCGTACTCGATTATTTACATTATTTTGAAGGTATATTGCGTTAGGTGGGGGGAAAACTAGCACAGTAAATTCCATATTATCGTAAGGTGTGTCACTAGACAATGGATATCTGAATTGAGTTCTTGGAACGTCAACGTTTACTATAGACTGTATACTATTTGGGGAAATAATCGTCCTTCCTGTGCGACGTGCCACAAATTCAAATTTAAATGGAGCGATTTCTGTCACAGCCCTTTGAAGCGTAATGATGACTACATGTCCCCTTAATGCGAAGCTGCCAGCCCTTTTACTGAAATATCAAAAGAAAGTGATACGGGCCTTGCGCACAATTTAGAATACTTTTTGATCACTTACACAAGCACGCCTCTACTACTTATACCAGAAGAGCCGTACTCGAATGAATTTAAATGTGGTCGCCAAAATCGTCCAGGTTGATATTCGAAGTTGGTTAGAGTAAAGTCAGTCAAAGAGGGTGATTTGATCATCCAGGTGCACACTTCAACAGAATCGATAGGCTCTCGTACTTCTGGTGTGTAGTCAATTCGTCCGGTTGTGCCATTAAAGACATACCCACAAGATGTCGCTAAAGGAAAAGGTGAATGTAGATAGTATAAAACAACAATGCAGGTGTAAAATAGAATTTAATGCGATATAAGTACATATGTCTGTAATGGGTTCTGGTGTGGTAGTTGTGCGCTCCGTGGTGGTTGGAATAGTTGGACCTGGTCCTCCAGTTCCACCAGTTCCACCAGTTCCACCGGTACCTGTTGGTGGAATTGATGTATAATCAGTAGTTGGTTTGTTTGTCATGGTCTGTTCAGTACTTGGTTCGTTTGTTGTTGGCTCCTCGGTAGTTTGCTCGATTGTTGTGGGCTCTTCGGTAGTTGGCTCGATTGTTGTGGGCTTCTCGGTAGTTGGTTCGATTGTTGTGGGTTCTTCGGTAGTTGGCTCGTTTGTTGTGGGCTCTTCGGTAGTTGGCTCGATTGTTGTGGGCTCTTCGGTAGTTGGCTCGATTGTTGTGGGCTCTTCGGTAGTTGGCTCGATTGTTGTGGGCTCTTCGGTAGTTGGCTCGATTGTTGTGGGCTCTTCGGTAGTTGACTCGATTGTTGTAGTCTCTTCTGTAGTTGGTTCGCTTGTTATAGTCGTTAAATCAGTCGTGATTGGAGTTGTACTTGTCTGCCGCACCTCACAAATGTACCTTTGCAGATCCGTATTCCAACGTGCGACCCAAGCCGCGTCGAAGCGATTCTTATAAGAAATACCAATTCTAAGCAATGCATTGGGTTCAGACGGTGGATAGCCATTCTCCCAAGGGGCCCATGTCCCCACGGGTTCATTATTATCCGCCCACCTCCAAACCCTCGAGCTTGAATCGTACAGTCCATTCGTCCAGTAGGTAGCACCTGACACAATTGTGACTTATTTATTACATGACATTAAAATTATAAAAAATCTCTAATTACCAAATCCATAATTTTCCAGCAAGCGATCCAGGTAAATTTTCTCATCCTCCGAATCAATCGATACAAGGCCGGAATCCGTTCCAAATAAATTTTGACAATCGTCATTTGCATTGGTCCAGGACGCCTACAAAATTTATTTTGTAAGCACAATTATTTTTAATTTTATACGAGTTTGTGATTATTAATTACTAGGTAATCTTAACTCACCCCATTCGCACTGACGTAGTAGTGCCTATAATCTTCTCCTTTGGTAAACAGTGGTCCATCATAATGGCCTAGATATGTCATACCTATTTATTTCGGTAAAAAAGAGAAAGTACTTTTTTAATGTATAAAGACTGACAGCAAAATTCAAGCTGGAAAAAACCTTAAATCTGCAATGCCTACCTGTCATATCGGCAGGTTGGCAAGGACCAAAAATGATTCCGAGTAAGAAATATATTCGCATAAAACTTTTTCGAGAAACCATCATGCCAGAAACTTTACTATTTAATTTGTGTATTTAGCACCTGTCAGTCTCAAGTCTAATTTGCAATAACCCTGATCACGGGAGGCATGATAGTAGTTAACTAATTTTGATAATCAAGAAAATATGCACCCTCCAAAAACCATAAAATTTCTTATCAATTGACGCAAACCGATTGGTGTCCTTTGCTTAACGAAAATTATAAGTCGCACTCGTGATTCATGAGAGGTATCGAACGTAATGGCCAGTCCGATTAAGAGGAAAAATGGGGTCAACAATATTTCATACATGATAATGCTCGTTTAAATAATATTGTCATGTCCACGTTCATCATTTGATAAGTACTTATGTATGCATTAGTCATCAATCAGTCCATTTACGTATTTACATATTTTGTCCATTTCGCATAAAATCTTTTTTCTTGTTCAAATAAAATATTTGCACCTGGCTGAAAGGTTTGACAATTACTCATACATAAATATTACACGATTTGATAAAGGCATCAAAGGCCAAATTAAAGTGTGTACTGAATTGGAAAATAAGTTCTGTTATCATCAAGGGATTAGGTGAGCACATGTGTCCACAGACGTTGACGAGGCAGGTGTTTTATGTATGAATTTCAATTAAATTCCATTCAGCTGACAAAATTTACATATTTGTTGCGTGCTGACGGCGTGACGTTGATTGCGACAATTTAGTTTCCTATATTTTCATAACTAAATCATGTATTTGTAATGATGTACATAAATGTACCTACATATGTATATGTAAGACACCTTGTTTATGTAAAAATTTACTGTGAAAACTCAAACTGCTTCCCAAACATTAAATTGCAGTTCAATATTTTTTCTTTTTAATTTTAAACAACCTTCTTCTTCGATTAAATTGCAATTTAATCCTGCATCTTTTTATTAGTTTCACTATTCCAAGGTAATTTTATGTTTTTAACATTTATTTACTACAATATATTGTAAAAGTGGATGCTGCATACATACGTAACAGATAGGAATTAAGTATGATGCCATGGTAGAAAAAAATTTTGTTCTCGAAACAACAGACAAAATTTTAAGTATTCTAAATTTCCCAACTGATAATCAGTAAATCCGACCAATGCGAAGTTTAACATTCATTATTTACTTATCAATAAAATATTGTTGGTATGGTATGGTAATTTTAAGTAGTGAGTAGCAGCAGAAAAAAAATTCCTGCACATCAGATTTATTTAAATCGTCCGCAAATTTGTTGGGCACAAACAAGTATTGCACAAATTGGCAAATTCAGGATGACAGTTGCACAAGTAATTTTATCCATCACGTGGAAAGCGTTTGGGTCCCTGTGACCACACAGTTATGTTACTTTACTGCAAAGTTACCAAATCCATTCGATCACATGCCGGTGACGAGCTCCTGGCGCCATGTGGGACGCAGGTGGTGGTGACAAATTTCCTAGACCTACATACATGCATACATATATGTACATTTACCTATGTATATAGGTAAATTCCTAGCCGCCTTCCTAGTTAGATCATGCTCTGTGCAAATTTCAAGTCAAAGTTTTATCCACACCTACAAAATACGGACCCCCAATGCAAAGTTATTATTTTCCATCATAGCTTAACATCCGAACATTTTGCTTCGATTTATCACAAGAAAGGCATTTACCTCTACAACCTTCCGCAGTTAAATAGTTCATGGACGGTTAGCCGAGCGAAAATTACCAAGAAAAGACCAAGGAAGCCGGCAACCAATCAGAATGCAGGAATGTCACGGAAAATTTCACGGGACGGACTTTTCGAAATTATAATATAGATGATGCATATTTATGTAAAATAACTTGCGTATGTAAATAGTGTCTACGAAAATTTATGTTTCGCAGAATTGCAAAACAAAACATTCCAACATTTAGAAAAATAAATTTGAAAAAGACAAAATGTCAAAATTCTTCGATTTGGTAGAGAAATTCGCATCCGCAGAGGAGCTAATACACAGGAAATTTTGAAAATGTTAAATTTCTTATTGGCCGACTTCATCCTCCTTTTACGGAAATATCGACGCATTGAGGACCGCCTTTTCAAATTAATGAACTATATAATCGGTTGACACTAATTGGGCTAAAATCTGTCAGCATATGCTGCGAGACTTCAATTGTTATTTAGTAAGCTTTAAGCGTGGCAGCATTTTGTGTTAAAAAACACAATTTTACCAAGTTTATTAAATTTCATGGCTTTCATTTCATCAAGTTAATAAGCATATACATATTTTTAATATCAATGAGTATATTTTCAATTAATGAGTAACACTTGAGTAAAAATGAATTCCTTCATGTTAAATATATCTTTGCTTAAATCGACTCTAACTTCGACAACCGTGTGCTCTAACAAGTCGAAAACAGTATGTTTATCGCACAAATTGGGAAACTGAGGATGCGAGCAAATATGTAATTTTATCCATCACGAGGAAATAGTTGTGACCAAATTTGTATACGCAGTTATATTTGTTTGACCTGATCAAACCCCATCCAAACCCACGTTTGCTTAACTTACATACGCATTTACGAACGATATTTCCAAGAATTGTCACAAATCGCGAACCAGTATCGCCGCCTCAATTGGGATGACAATAGCCCATCACGTGAAAAACGATGGAGTCGCTGTGACAAAATTTATTTATGCAGTTAAATTTGCATGCTTATGTAATTCAGACCCATGTTTGATAATCTTTTATTCATATATGCGTAGTACACGAACAGTACAAATTTCCAATAATTGTTTCACAATCTCCCGATGTCATTCTGCTGTCGAGTGACAAGGTCCACCTTTGGGTCGGGTTGGTCAACAATTTTCTGGAGAATTGAGATAAGAATAAAACGTTGCATATCATATAACATATTTGTCACGATGGATGTAGATTACTACGTACCCATTTATTCACAAACAACCACGGGCCCTGCAGATGTTCGAGGTAAAAAGTTGGATCAATTGGTTGTGATTTATAATTTTATCGCTAATTTTACTGCAGAATGATGCCCCAAACCATTCAATTCCATTCCGATGACGATTTGTTGGCGACTTGTGTGACTCAGGTGGCGACAAGTTCCCTAGACCTGTACAAATTATTGTAATTATTTGTATATGACAAAAATTCTGAAGGTGAATATGCACAAATCGGTTAAAGTAGCACTCAAAAGTAGGGTATTCGGACGCAGGTTGAAGCACATCATGTTAAAAAGATATGCATTTTTAAAACTTGGAAAAATAACTATGTATGTATATTTTGGACAATTTAGGAAATTTGTATTGTTTGCTGGTACGTTTTATGTATTAAATACTTGTGACATATTTAATCGATCACAAATTCTGAGAAACGTGCATTTATATATATTTAAGACGTTCACAGTCAGAAAAACTAACTAACATGTTTAAGAAATATTTAGAGACGAAATTTTTCCAAAAATTTGTCTTGGAAAGAAATAAATTTGCAAGAAATAATATGCACCCGCAAATTGTGTACACAATATTTAGTGGCAACATTCTGTAAGAGGCTGGTCTGGATTTCTCGAGATTAAAGTTTCTGCCACTTGGTATCAAAAATATACCGGTCGGTAAAAGTTTGCTACCCATATGATAAATATATTTAATGTTTAACTATTATTCGTATTGTGATTTGTATCTTAGTCTATTAAACTGACAAGGGAAGGTCCCCGACTGCTACTCGAGTTCAGGGTACCCACTATGTTTTTTTAGAATCTACTAGGATCCTAGATGAAGGATCCATGCATATTTACGTGCAAAAGTCATATTTGGCGCCGTGGCGTGGCGCCAAACTTAAAAATCTGGATTTTCGACCAACTTTAAACCCCCATAACTTTTGCAGTTTACAACGGATTTCCAAAATTTTATACTCAAAATGATCACAAAAGTCGAAATTTTAAGAAAAAAATGAAAAACAAAAACTTTTTTATTTTTGAGTTATTTTTCCGTTTTTTTCGAACATGGTGCAAATTAAAATGGTCTTTCTTCAAGGCTATGTCTTTTGCCCAGTTATTTGTCATTTCTACCGTATTGGAGAAACCTACTAGAGTTCCACATAAATTAGAAATAAAACCAGAATTTAGGGTTTCAATTGGTTGTTTTGCGCTAGTATCGATTATTTTGACGAATTTATATCTCGGACTTTGTATCACATCGATTTCTGCTCCATTGGAGTCCAAATCAGTTACACAATTCCACCATCTGTCAAAACCGGGGTGCGAGAATGGCAGAATAAAGTGTACCCTGCGAAGATTACGTGCCTGGGACCAGTATATTAGCAGTGTTGACTACCATGCACAAGTTTTCTGGCAGCGTTTGCAATACGATGAAGAGTACTTGAAAGAATTGTACGAGGATAATGGTGAGGTCTTCCCAGCCAATAGAAATAACACATATGATTCTGTTCGAAGTAGATCCATTAGGAAACGAGATATCAATCGAGATTTCACATTGCTACCATATTCCATTGAATTAAACGCTTCAAAGTACGAATTAGATGAAAACGATTTTTGTTCTGCATTAGTCCTTCAGAACAACAAAACAGCGACGAATATACTACGAAAATGTCAACCTCGGTGCAAACAAATCGATTCAACTGAATTGGAACGCCTGCAACTACTTGACTTACTGGATCCGTGGCTCATACCTCATTCCATGGTAGGAAATCTATCTAACTTGACCCAATTGAAAGAGGAGTGGGACATTGAGCATCTTTTAGTTCAATGCGGGAAAACAGCCCTAATTCTTAGAGAAGACGAAATGCTTTGGGAATTTCGGTATTTTGAAAAGAATTATCCCTAGCTGAAGTTTTTCCAGGCTGAAAATCCAATAATGAAAAGTGAGATTGGCTGGAAGAGGAAATATAACGAAAATAGTTCACAGCCTTGTGGGTCGCAAATCATTGCAAGATCCAGTTCAGAGGATTAAATTGCATGGAAACCTTCACACCATATTTTGGATCTATCTGGTTCATCCTAAATTCAACGTCTTTGCATATTGATCGATAAACCTTCGAAGACATTTACCAAACTTCATATGTTAATCATTATGTATGCAAATATCAAAATGGAAAACAAACTATACGATAGAAAAGTTAACGATTTAACATTCAATATGTACAAACACAGAATAATTGATGGTTTATTTACGTGAATATGTATACCGATAAAGCAGACACACGTGCATGGACAAATA